GACGTTACTTAGTGATTGTGAATTTTGTGACAGTTAATGAATAACTGATCCATGAAGAAGAGAAAAGGGTGCTCATCTGCATGAACTCTTCTCACAAAGAGGACAGAAAATTAAGATATCTGAAAAGAAGTACTGACACTGGCGTGAATATCAGTGTACAAAAGTACAAATTATTCAGACCAAAGTTGCCCAGTTTTGTAAGAGAGTGTAGAAACTTTGTAAATTTCCATCTTCACTTCTGAAAGCATTCTAGAGCTGTGTTAGTTTGCTCAAATCTGCTTTTCTCTAGTTTTATATCTACTGATAATGATTTCGTCCTGGCTTCTCTCCACAGACTTACCACTCTAAGTCTCTGATAAAGACCTTTTTATTACACTGGCATGTAATTCCTTGAGCAAAGACCTAAAAATCAAAAGGCTTGATCATCTAAAAAGCTGCTGGATTATCTTTTGAAAGCAAAGAAGGTGAAAAAGAGAGCTCCTTGGTATTTCATAACATTAGTGAGTGACGTTTGTGAATCCAATATAAAAAAACCACTTCTAACAAGGAACATTTGTAAAAGACACATTTTATTTCAATTCAATCAAAACTTAATTAGATTATAGGAAAGTTAGGGATGCGTATTTGCTGCAAATTGTCTTATCAAAGACTGAGTAAATTGGCCAGGGTGCAGATTAACACTGGGTGTGTCAGCTGGATACAACATGTTTTTGGCACAAGAGGGCTTAGCTACCAAGAGGACCTGCATGGGAATGATTTTAAAATAGCTACAAAGCATGGTTGCTGGACGGTGTCTGTACACATACAGTCTATAATTCTCAATATTCATATATTTTACAAAAACACAAGGTATTTTATTTATTTAACACATTTTGACTTCTAAGCAGTCACAAATTTAACTGTGTTTGTACTGTTTCTTCATGGGTGAGAGCAGTTGAGCAAAGCTCAGAAATTTGGATAAGTGTAATTGTGTTCTCTGTGGTTGAGCTACATTTCTGCTACCCATACCAGCACACTTGTAGCATTCCATGGAATGCTAGCCTCCATGCAGGATCTAATTGTTTGTAATATTAATTTTACAAGAGTTTCAGGTACTCAGCACTTCAGAAAGGCTGAATCTCAGTTTACATATTTCTGTTATTATTTTTTCAGAAAATAAGGTGTTTCAACAGGTCACATCTTGGAAAGATTTTCAGGAATGAGTCACACCCATCAGAAATTTACACTGGAACATTGCAGGATTTACAGAGGTTAGAGAGTTTTGATGTAATTGCCTTTCAATGTCAGCAAAAAGATATGCAAGAAAAAACACTTCGGAAACACAGCATTCCAAAAAAAAAAATAAAAAAAATCAAAATCTGTTTAGTTATTATTAAGTTGTGTTAGAAAATTAAAATAGTTTTAATCTCAGTAGTGCACATCTTATTATTTTTACTGAACCAACCTGAAAAAAAAAATCCTTTTTTGGAGGGAAGGGGAAGTGTGCAACATCTGGAAAAACAGGCTGTTTTTAAAACCACTGCTGATTTACAAGTAAAGAAGGAGCATTTTCCACTGACAGGATACGAAATTAGGTAAAAAATCTCCCACAGCCAAAGACAAAGAGTCAATATAAACACAAATGAAGAAATCCTTTTCACCCATACATTGAAGCAACATTGTATACTGGTAAGAGTGAACCTGTCACTCATAATGCTAATTATCCTGTAAACAATTACATAGGCAAGATTTGAGGGAATTTTGTTTCTGCATACACTAAAGCAACATTTAAGCAGAGATCTGCCTGCTAAGGCTGATAAAGACTTCTAAATGAGATTCCAAGGTGAAAACATAGTAGCTTTACATACCACTAATGAAAAAAAGTAACCCTGAATTCATGTGATTTAGCCAAAATTCCAATGGTGTAACACCACTTACTCACTCTTCTGCTGATTCTTTGTCATTTGCTCTTCACTACTAACCTCGTGGCTAAGAGCTGTTTACTGTGTTTAAAAAAAAAGAAAAAAAAATAGAGGAAGTTCAGAGAATATCTGTGGATATAGCCAAAACATTGGTAACACGGAAGGATTTTGTTTGTCACTTCTGAGTAAATAATCAGTATATTTCAGATTTATTGCTAATTTTAGATTAGCTGAAAACAGATTCAAAAAATACCTTTTGTTTTTTAATGTTTCTTTCCAAGTTTCTCAGTGGAGGTGCAAAAAACTGGAGTGAGGTGGCTTAGAGCAGTGTTATGATGACCTCTTGTGGTTAAGTAATATATGCATTTTGGTTCAAAGTCTCTCGAAAACTTGCAGTATCAAAGGTTAAATTCTGTGCTTAGATCTGAAGAGCTTTGTATTGTTAATGTTGCTTAACCTGAAATAACTCCACCTCCCAAGCACACTATCAATATTTGTTTAGCTCACTGTTAAAAGATTCTTTTAAAAATATCTCAACCTTTGCACTCCACAAACGTAGCAGGTGAGAGGATTGTGTTTTCTCACATGGTAATTTGTTAAAGCAAATTCACATTAAAAAAATCATTACTATAAAATCCAATAATATTTAATAAAGCCATGCCCACTACAAGTGTGAAAGAAACCATATAAGCCACTCATTATAACAAATAAGATTATATTGATAGACTGCAACAATAGATATTAACTATATGTTTTTTGCATAAAATTTTTGTACATTAATTAACTATATGCATCATGTTTAAAGTTCAGTTAAAGCTATCTCTTTTTCTCATCCTTTATTTCAACAAAAATCAGAGAAGTGAGGATTTTCTGATGTTACCAAATGCAGGCTATCAATTTGGATCAAATTATCTGACACCTTATCCATTAGTAGATAAAATTGCTCAAGACTTTATCCTGATTTTTCAGTTTCCTAAAATCATTCGAAATTACACTTATTTCATTAGACCACTTTGCTGAGTGATTATACTTCAGTGATGGTCCCATCAATATTTATAGACCCATGGTAGTACTTTCCCACTGGAGGATCACCAGTGGTGGTATTTACACCTGCCAGGCAGTATTAACATGACCTTACTAAATTTAGGATTCATTGCAAAGCCACTTCTGCACTGGCTCTGCTGTCTGAAGCTCTGGAAGCTCATCGGGAACACAACCTTGGACTGCCCCCAAGCTGGACATGTGCCATGTTCTGAGACGCTGTGATTGCAGCTGGGGGAGCCTGAACTCAGCTGCTGTGAGACCTGACTTGTTTATGCAACACACACTTTGGAGAGCTCTAGGTTAAACCTACATGCTGCTCTCAGTGTGCACAGCAATCATTATTAGCTCTCCCCATTTATTTTCTTTGAAAAGGTGGAAAACAGAGGCTGTTGAGCAAAACACGCTGGAACAAAGCTGATGACAACAACAAAAAAGAAGGTTTAAGTTAAAATGTGATTATCGTCCCAGTATAAGGAAGCACTGATGGTGGTCATGTGTCCTGAAAAGTCTCCCTGACTTTTGAAACATCATTGACAAAATTCTCCTGAAAATTTCTTGCATTAGGAGGTTCTGAGCACTGCTGGAATGCAGTCTTGGGAGACAAAACCAAATTGTTTGTGTGGGGGAGGGAAATGTTTTGTTTCTATTGTCTAATAGGCCTAATCTGTCTCATTCTTCTTTAGCTGAGTTAACTCTGCAGTGCTAAGAACTGACTGACTTCAAACTGTAAACCCAGTGTATGAGGAGCAAACTCCAACACTCCTGACCCCATTGAACTTCCAACTAAATACAGTTTGCATGTCTGAGCACACGATTTTTCTAAATGTCTAAATGCTGTCATTATTTTCCCTGCCATGGGTTACAGGTGGAATAATACCCAGCCTGAGCCAATTTTAATTTGACCCTCAGGGTGCAGTTGTATTGCTCCTCTGGCTCAGCATAGCTGCTCAGTGGCTCGTGGTCTCTTCTTGCCTGTTGGAGGCTCCTGGCCAGCCAACCAAGAAACCAGCCAGCCAGTGACCTTCCTAGAGCAGGTAGGGGGTGCCTGTTTTGGCAGCAAATATGCTGGCATCTTGTGCCTCATTGTGTAGCCTTCCAAGCCAAGCTGTGCCAGGAGCAGCATGGTATAGACAGGAATCATCTGGTGAGTACCAAGGTCTCACCAGTTTCTCCCATCCCAGGACAGGGGAGAAGGTGTCATAGTCACAGCCTTGTCCCACCAGCTGCCAGCTCACAACTCCTGCTGCAGCCACACTTCAGCACAAGGGTCAATAGACTAACCATGGTGCATGCCTTCAGCCAACACAATACACCAAACGTTCAAAGCTCTGAAAAATGAGTGTGTGTTTTTAGGTGTGGGTGGCACTCTGGGACAAACTATGGTTTTGAGATATGTTCTGGATACTGGCTTTCAAGGACAATGAAAGTCAAACCCTTCAGAAACCTTTCACCTTTGCCCATCATCTAATGTTCACACTAATTATTAGAAGGCTCTTATAATTTGTATACATATTTGGTGATAGAGATGAGCAGCAGAAAATTTCCAGCAAGCAAAAATATTAAAAAAAGAAAGCAATACAGGGACACTATGAAACCATCTAAGCTCCTTGAATAGGCTGTGTTCTGCCACAGACTACTATTTTACTGCAGAAATACTTCCTCTACAGGCATTCTCAGATAACTTCCTGTTTATAATACAGTTTTATTCAAGCTTTGTAATGTGCTTTCTCATTCTCCAAGCAGCACAGCATCCTTGCAAGCAGGGGTTAAATCCTGTACTTCTTTTTTGGCTTCTCTTCCAACAATAACAGGTTCATTTTCTGGCTTTGACAGGAGGGAGTTGGATTTACTGGCTGGCTGTTGTGTAAGCATCAACTGTACTGGAACTGTAGTAGGAGCAAGAAACAGGAAGAAACCAGTTGGTAAAACACAATCATAGGCTGGCAGGAATTCCGTGACTATTTGTCACTCCTTCCAAAGAGGGTAAAAACAGTTGGTGGCAGATATTCAGTGCCATCAAGTACCCAGAAGAGAGATTAAATATCTTTTTTCTCCATGCCAGGATACTCAGAGTTTTTCTTCAATGTGGACCATGGCTACTTGGAGGGTCTGGTCCGAGGGTTCAAAGCTGGGATCTTGACAAGTGCGGACTACGTCAATTTAGCACAGTGTGAGACACTAGAAGGTAAGTCTGCTAGTTTATTTTATTCAGGAAGAAACAGTTTTGCTTAGGTGTTTGAAGAAGGGAAGGTAAAAGACTGAACTACTGAGAGTTTGTCTTAAACCCAGAGATAACCCCGATGTCCTTTGAAGAACTGCTCTCATATTTAAGTTAATGGCCTTTCATAGACTGTGATTTGTGTGCAGGCTGTAATTTGCTAAGCAATGCAGACAATGGGGCTTTCTGGTTTACTGATAAGGATTAGAAATCAAATCCACACAGTTTTTATGGAGATTGGCAACTTTCTCACAGATTTTAGCCATGCTATAGAACAGTTCAGGTCTGGAACTTTCATACCATTTCAACTGTATAAAATAGTTTCCAAAATCTTGTTAGAAGCTTGCTATTTGTCTCTGAGTTTCTCTATAAAATACATGATTTTAGTAATTTGTTACTTCCTGAGTTTTAGGGCAGTGGTGAAGACTCTGCTTACCAGAAAGAGAAAACTAGAAACTAGACTCCACACAGATAAAACTTAGGGAAATAAGGAAAAAAAAAAAAAAAAAAAAAAAAAAAAGCAGCTCTTTTCAAGGTGACTTTGCCACAGTAATCAAGAGAACACACAGTAGATTCCAAAGCAGCTTTCTGTGGCCAAGACTGGTCACAGCCTGATGAAGACAGACTTGTACCAAAGAATCATATGACATTCCTTTAGACACTTGGCAGGAAAAAAATGCAACAGAAAGAAATCACCTTTCTAAAGGAACATAAAGTTCATTTTCCTGACTGCAAAATGAAAGCTATGATTGTACACTCAATTTCTATAACTTGCAGTCTATTAGATCAGCTTGGAAAAGGAAGCAGAGGAATGAATAAGCTCACTCTATTTTAAGCTTTGGCTGATTTGTACATGCAGTAATGGGTTTGGAGTAAGAAAAAGGGAAGAATGATGATTCCCATATCCAACAGAGTTTTGAGGCTGTCTAAACTATTAATATAAGTAATAACATAAATCTGGGAAGATTCCTTACCATTCATCTCTCAGATCAAAACAACTACATTTAAAGAAATGCATGTAGATATTTACCTGTCTGCAGAATAAAGTTCCTCTTATAGGAATATGTTAAAGAAGAGTTTATCAGTACTCTCAATGGAATCTAGACACTATTGAACAGACCAAGTGCATGTGTCTTCTTCTGCTGATAACCTGGAGAGCTGTACCAGCTCTCCATTAAATACAGTGGCAGTTCAGACACACAGAACAGATGCATACAAACACTCTGAGAGCTGAAATCTGTTCCTTATGTCAGCTGGACAAAATAACTGTTTCTTTACCCCATTTGTTCCAGCATTTGTGATTTATGCAACTTAGAGACTCTACAGAAACTCTTGGTATTGTATTTAATTGTTTAAGTGAAAAAGTCCTGCTGCATAAGTATACAAACTTCAAAAAAAGGTAACAACTTCAAACATCTATAAAAGACACAAAGAACAGATTGGTAAAATAACTAAACTCTGTTGTCACTTCACTTCTCCCTATAGATGAACTCAATAAATTATGCCATCCAAAGCTTCATGAAAGAAAAAATTCCTGGTTGCTTATGAATAAGAAGAAAAGATGTAGAGTTAAACACATATAAGCAAAAGGGATTATTTGTACCCTTCACAAAAGAATACTTGCTCATGTTAAGTTTAGAATAGCTAAAAAATACCTAAATTTTAAGTCATGCTACAAGGAAATTATTTACCACCATGAGGTAATTTTCAAATATTTCTAAGATATATAAACCATCAATATTTTTAAGAGCATGAAGCAGATGGACAGGTAACAACAGAGAGACAAAAACCATTCTTAATTAAAATTTATAATAGGAAGAACAATTAGTTTTGTTTTTGAAACTTATTTTTTCTAGTGTTCATTCAATTTTAGAATGCTAATTATTTCATCAATAAAAGCAGCAGCCTTCATCATCCCTCCTACAAGCACATCTCTACTACCCACTGTCACTTCCTCTTTTTCTCTATTCAGCTACATCTCTTTCACCACTTTAACTTTTTTCTGCTTATTATAGAGAGCTAACAGATTCCCACCATTTACCTACCAAATGTATTATTTATAATGAAAAGATGAGAAATAGAAAAATAATGGATTTCTACATGATGCTAAACACACTTATTTCTCTGCACATGTAGGATGCTGTAATACTGAACTTTCACCATGAGTGTACAGTGCACCAAACCCACAGACCCCTACCTAAAGTAAATTTCATATATTGTCTTTTATTTAAATTTGAAATATTCAGCAAGAGGATCTGTGCTGTAGTAATGTGAATTTGCTCAGTAGTGCCATCATGTCTTCACATTAAAAGGCAATAAATTTACCCTATTCTGCATTCTGTGGCTTAGCACCACACCACAAAAAATGGCCTAAGCTAAAAACACTATAAATATGCTAAAACAAACAAGCAGAAAACAAAAATCAAAACCACTCAAAGTAACCCATAAACAGAAGAAAAAAAGTTCTTTTAATTTCAAAGTGGTTTTGCTATCTCTAGAGAGGAAACCATAACCTCTGAAGAACCACAAGAAAACTGTAGATTAGTGCTTTACATCTGCTTGATAATCACAGAGCAAGTGTAAAAGCAAGATGGAAATTAAAAAAGAAGACTGCTAACACAGTAATGATATCACTCTGTCCTCTCAATTCAGGGCCATACAGACAGGAGGAGAGGCTTTCAGCTCCATTTAGACATCCTCTTTGGCTTGGCTGAACTATGATTTTCATGGAGCTATCTCATGGGCTGCATGCTACTGGTTTGGTACTATGGCATCATCTGTTTCAAGGGAATGAGGTTCCCAGAGCAACCTTGCTGACAGTTTTGAAGTAGAATATGGGGGTGTGGGAGTGTGGAGGTGTTTAAATGCAGTGCTTTGTTTTTCTCTTGCTTTTTTTCTGTGAGACAAAGACTTCTGCTCCGTAGAAAAGAAGGTTAGGTCAAGAAGGACAAGCATCTCAACTCTGGTCCTGACAGAATCACTGAAACAAGTTTACTTAATTTGCCAGAATCAGGGCCTGCCAGCACATGGTGGCTGAAATAACAGTGCTCCCTGAAAGAAAACTGCAGCTAGTTGGTTACTTATATCAAAGTGAGGGGTCAGACAAGTTACCATGAACTTGATGCCAAGAGACCAGGTTAGGACTTTGTTAAAGTTCTCACAATACTCACTTTCTTTCTTTCTTTCTTTCTTTCTCTTTCCTTTCCTTTCCTTTCCTTTCCTTTCCTTTCCTTTCCTTTCCTTTCCTTTCCTTTCCTTTCTTTCATCAGGATCTTTCCTGTCTTAACGGCATTCATCTTAAACTTGTCTCCCTCTGTGCGTTAATTCCTTTCAGTCATACTTTACTTAATTATGTGTGTTGGCTGTTCAGTTGTGGTTAAACCCACGTAATTATTTAAGGTCGTACTTTTCCTATAAGTTGTTTTCCTGCAAGTAATTTAATGAGGAAATAGACAATGCAGATGGATGGCAATAAAAATGAATGGATGACAGCTGAAACACAGGGATTTTCTTTCCTAGGGACCTTTAGGACAAAGGTCAGAGTCCTGTGAAGGTCTCCAAGAGACCCTGAGAAAAGGAGCAGCTACCATCAATAAAAGGTTTTGGTGAACAGGAATGTCTGAGGCCCCTGTAAAGTCAGCCATCTACTCCTGCTGAGTCACCAAGTCACATCACTAATGCTAGTGTCTGACAGTGATAGTTCCCAGGCCTTATTTATGCCAGCAGCAAAAAAAAGGACTATAATTTAGGTCCACCAGTTCAGTCTCAGAGCTGCACTGAACTCCATCTTGATAAGAGCTCTGATTATGACATTCCTGGTTGGTATTACATGGTATTGTAGCTTGTGGATGATTGTTTTGGCCAAGACGATGAGTCAAATATTTTTTCTTATATGCAGAATGCATGTTGGCATTTATTTATTCAGTTAAGTAAATGCATCTATAAAGCAGGCTGTGTAACTGACAGGGTTTTAAACCCAGCATTTCTGGGTATAACATTCCTATAACATTCCCTCCATATCTTTTGAGAAATGGCCTTATAGTGTAGCTATGATATTATGAAAATCCTTTGCTGGGATTTTTCCTCTCCTGAGAAGCTGAGGAGCCTCAGGAGAGAAATATAAACAATTACTATCTGCTGCTGTGGAATGCAACAGGTGCATCCATGATTGGTCCATGTGGATTGTTTTCCATTGATGACCAATCACAGCCACCTGTGCCAAGGCTGTGAGGAGTCACAGGATTTTTGTTATTATATTCTGTTCTGTTCTTTCTTGTTGTAGCCTTCTGATCTCTCTGTTCTTTTAGTATAGTCTTAATGTAGCATTTTAATATAATATCTAACATAATAAATCAGCCTTCTGAAATGGAGTCAAGCCTCGTGTCTCCACACACGGAGAGGAATCATCAACATTATAGCAAGGCGCAGCTTATGAAGCCACTCAATCAATCAGAGAACTGAAGAACAGTAACAAAATCTTGTGAAACTACCCTCAATCAGAAGCGTTTCTGATCTCCTTATGATGATATTAATCACGCTTCAGAATGGTCAATACTTGGGCCTGATATTTGGGTCTGCTTTATGTAGTTAACCCCTGAAAAGTACAATGTTTGAAAGGCATTTACACAGTGTGGCTAAAAGTAAATATCTGTGGTTCATCTGAAAAGGAATTGAGTAAAGTTGGAATTGAGCTCTGCATCTAATAAAGTAGTATTATCTAATCTCAGCATATGTCAAGTATTTTTGTACTCTTTGCAACAAAAAAAAAAAAAAGAGAAAAGGGGGAATGAACAGGAAATGTAGGTATAAACCCAAAATATTAATGAGCTTTTAAAAACTTGGTCTTACATAGACTAATTTCTGGGTATAAGTGCATTTTTATTTACCTCTTAGTCTTGCATATCCTTCCCTCTTTCTTCAATTGTGGGTTTTTTCCCCTATTTGGATCCTATTTCTCCTCTTCCTACATGGAAGTTAATACTGAAACTATGACTTTTTCTAAGTGTGTTATGTGATTTGATATGGATTTGATGAATAGGCTATATTTGGTGGATTAGGAACAGGCTGAGTGGTTACATCTGGAGAGTAGTGGGCAATGCTTCAAAGTCCAGACAGAGCTCAGTGCTGAGCAGTGTCCCTGAAGGGTCCTTTTTGGGACCAGTACCATCTTCATCAGTGACACAGACAGTGGGATTGAGTGCACTGTCAACAGGTTTGCAGGTGGCACCAAACTGAGTGGTGTAGGTGGCACCAAACTGAGTGGTGCAGGTGACACCAAACTGAGTGGTGCAGGTGACACAACTGAGGGACAGTGTGGAGATCCTGGGGGGGGGGGGGGGGGGGGTTTCCCCT